ACATTAACGTTAAACTAGTTGTAGACAGTGGAGCGGTGGTTAGCTCTCTTGCCTTACAGTAAGAAGATCAACCTGTTTGTGTCCCAGGTGGTAATTGATGGTCTCTGTGTGTGTGGGTTTTCTCTGGGCATGTTTTTGGAGTGTGGGAGGAAACTGGAAAACGTACCACTTATGGGGAGAACATTGGAACCTGAGAGAGAAAGGTCACGTACAAAAGCAGGGAAGTGAAGCTGTTGCTTTTTTTGCACTGGTATTTTATTTTATTTTCTAACATTACTTAATATAATAGCAGTAGCTGTATTATTCATTTGTGTTTTTTACAAAACATTACAATGGATACATGTTCCACATGAACATAACATCATTTTTTAAAGTTTTAAAATAGATAAATAAATCAATAAACCTTGCACATCCTGTCTATCTAGCAGCCAGGTGGACTGTGGTAGGAGAGTAATTACAGAATCTACCCTTCAAGCAGTGAAGTAATTGTATTAGGAAAAAAATCATCATGTTCAGATGAAACTGTTAAATATAGAACATTGACAGCTCTGGCGTCTCTACACTGAGTTTAACTGGTACCACTGAGTACTAATGAGTGCAGGAACATCTTGAGCAGGCGCAGTAATTATGATGATAAGAACAAAGTAACAGGTTCCTGGTGACCTTTAATTGTGCCGTTTTCTTGACCACATTGGTTTTTTTTCAACCTTTTATTTTGATGCACTTATTAGCCATAGTATTTAATGTAGTCCTGGCTGACCTTGTGTAGTGTGTGTGTGTTCCTGTCTCTGTGTGTGTGTGTGTCATTTGTTTATTTAGTTTGGTGGATTCTCGTCAACACCGTAACTGACACAGCCTTGATTTACTGATAATCCTTGGCTCGGCTGTCTCTGCGGACTGTGTACGGGGCGTGGCACCAGCTCGCAGCCACACGTGTCCTTGAGTCGGAGCGGCATTTTGCCCTTGACGCCCCCACCCCTTCCTCTCTTTGCTGTCTCTCTATTGACACCTCTTAAAATCCTCTATGCTCACAGTCCAGCCAGAGCTCCCTGCAGCTGGGATTTTATTTTGCTGACAGAGCGCAGATGGGATGTGAGGCCTGCAGGGCCAAACCTAATTGTCTCCAGGGGACAGAGAAATTAAAACTCTCCGTCACAGCCATTTAAAACAATAAACAAGTCAAACTGCTGTGTAGATAAATTATATACAGTCTAAACAAATAAATAAAGATAAATATAAATTTTAATTGTAAAAATACAAAAATACATTATAATATATATATACTATATATAAATCTTTATAAACTCCTTTGTATGAGTATGTGAATATACATATATACTGTGTATATATAGATATATGTGTATATATACAGTACATATAATATATATACATATGTATCTGTGTATGTGACTGAAAGACTGATTTTTGTTTTGCATAATTAAATACAATTATATACAGTATGTAAGATATTTCAATATATATACAATTAGCATATAAATTGATTAAGATTCCCATTGCCGTAAATTGGAATAAGGCTTTTCCCAGTGTAACTGGATTTCCTCTGAAATTGTACAAGAAAGGGGAGTTACCAATACAATATTTTTGTATTTTTTGTATTTATCAAATACAAAGACTGTTTATTTTTCACGACCACGACAGTCGATTCTGTTCAGCTTGTCTTGGGTGGATTGCAACACGGGAGGCTTGAGCACAGAGAAAAAAAAATAGAAAAAAATAGAAAACATGAACAGGTCAGATGAAGGATAGGAGCAAAAGTGGGGAAAAGAGGTGGAGGCAGAGAAAAAGGGTTTGAATAAGCCCATGCAGAGGAGGAAGTGAGTGAGAACGCTCCTGGGAGACGCCCTGCTCTGGCTCAGGCTAATTGAAGCTGTGTGTGGCAGGAGACTCAGAGCTGTCACTTCCACGAAGAAGCCATTTCCTGCATATTGGAGGCTGTGTCCTGAATTCTGATGATGTTACCGAAAGCCTCCCCCGCCCGCCCCCCGCAGACCCACACTATTACTGAGGCTCCTATCGCCCACCTCCCCACTCCTGTGCCGTAGGTGGTGTGAGAGTGCATACACCCTCCCACACCCCTGCTCCTCTACGGCTCTTTAAAAACTATAACAGGGTCAGAGAGATTCTGAACACGAGCAGAGACAGAAGAACAACATGTGAATATAAATCATCTCAATTTCTCAGCTAGTTTAATTCATGTTTTTTTTTATATGAGATTGGGGGGAAATGTTCATCACTCGTACTGGTTGTCCCCTGTTGGATTACAAGAAATGATGCCATTTTACAAGAGTACACAGCTGCAAGGATCCAGTGAATAATTTATCATGGATTAAAGCAGCTATGAAAACATTTTGTGGTGAACTACAGTCATAAAATACCTGTTGATATTGAAAATGAGTAAATGGTATTTTGTGGTACTTTTCAGTCACTTGTTTACTGTTCTTTCTTCTTTTTTTTCCTTTTTCTTTGACTAAATTTTAAACTTCTTGTGGTCACTTTGCTAAAGTTTTTATTCTTTTATTATTTTGTTTCATGTTTATGCTGCAGTTGATGACACTGTCCTCATATAATTCCGTTTATGATACACAGTAAACGATAATAAAAATTGTGAATCATAAATCTGGGTGGTACAATTAGCAAAAAAGTAGATTGGGAATGTAAGACATCTCATTTGGTGGAGTAAGGCTTTTAGAGTAAAAACTGAAAACAACTTTTCCACAACAATCGTGCTAAGAAAAATGCTGTAGGGGTTTAACAATGATAACATGTAATGGCTTATTTGAAGAAAGAGCAACAGGTACAAAATGTAAATGATCTCCATGAGTCTGTATTGCCCTCTAGTTTGCAGTGAGCTCATCACCATCAGACGTATTTGTGTTTTTACACAGCTAGCAGAACATTCTGCTGACAAACTCGGAGGTGTTGCTAAGGTTTGTGTTGTGGTTACAAATGGACATTTATGCTTCAGCGGTTGATGGCTGAACTCAGACTTTCACACCAGCAGGTAGAGTCTTTGTTCATTCTGTCATTTTATGGAGGGAGAGACAGTTTCTGTTAGATGAAGGCAACATAAAAAAAAAAGTCCCTGAGCAGCCCGGCAGCTGAGACGGTACGGTTTGACAGAGTAGAGGAATTTCTGTGGCAGCGAGAGCTTGAAAGAAGAGAATTCCTAGTGGCTCTATTTTATTCCTGTGTGTCTGCTACCTGGTAACTAGGACCGCTGACAGGTTCATGCAAGTCATGAGGCAGAAGAGCTGTTGTCTCTGAGAGCTTTTGTTCTAAAGTGGTTTCTGTGTACACTGTGGTAGAAAGAAACATTATAATAAAGATGTAAACACGCTCCTGTCTTTGACGTCAGTTGAAGACCCAAACCCATGGTGTCTCCGCTTTTTTAAGCAGGGCAGGAATTCAGGCTGTAAAATATATCAGATCACTGGTCACCACAGTTAACTAGCATGTAAACACTGGCTTTAAATTTGACTTTACATTTACCTAGCTGCACAAAATTGGCTACGTCTGCAATGTTTGGCTGCTGAGTTAGGCTCTGGATGAGACCATTAGAACATTGTAGTGTTTTTTTTTTTTATAATTTGTTGTGCACCATTTACACCACAGGCCTTTAACAGCGAGAGCATGACCGCTGATTTTAAACAGAGTTGACAAAATCTTTTTTGAGCCACCACACATACTTTCCTTCTGAAAAATCCCACGGTGAACCATCGAACAAAAAGGTCCCACAAAAGTGTATGCAATGAATTATAATAATCTTGTAGTTTCAATTCACTCGCAATTTACTCACTCAGTCTGAAACTGGGCCTGTTTAGTTGAACACAATGTCAATATACTCCCAGGAATTGACAAACAAAAACAAAGAAAAACTCACTTTTCAGACATCTGCTGTCAACTAGTGACAGACTTGTGAATTGTTCAGTCTTTCCCGAAAGCTTGAAAAAGACAGTGTGACCAAAAATGTTATTTTTTTACAGCTCCAGAAGAATGACTACAACCTTCCATCTCATAATGCTGTCGCACAGATACTCAGAGATTACCTGTGCGTCGACACCGAGGCAACACCTAAGGTAAAAAATGTAACCATTCAAGAGAAGAAGAGACCGGTCCAGAGGGCACAGGCTGCGAAGGCCAACAAATCGACAATGAACCAAACATTTCGAATATGTCAACCACAAAAACGGTATGACACGCTCCTCTGAATTATAATGCTTTTTTAAACAAAACATCATTAAGAAATAGCTGTCCTAATTAGATATTTTCTTAATTTACATTTCAGATCACACCTGCATGATTCAGTATATGATCCCATCTCGGCAGAAATTACCAATTGCCAAACTAAGGTGAAGAGACATAATCAATACGTTAACTCTGTGATCAATCAGGGAGACGATCAACAACAGTCGTCTGTTGTTAGTGACCAGTGACGTGGTCTAGAAACAAACAGAAACTTCTGTTCAAGAGATCACATAGTGAACATTTGTCTGATCACCTGTTCATTAATATCCAGTGTTTTGATCTAACGGTCGACTGAGATGATGCTGATGTAGGCAGACCATGTTCATCAGTGTGACTAATACAAACTCCCTGTGTTGTTGGCTCGTTGTGCCTGTGACAGTGTATTGTACATTAGTGCTTCATCAACACATATTTATAATGGCCCAGCTGATACAGATTTCAATGCAAATGACAGAGAGCAGCGGGAGCCTCCAGTGTTTCCCTGATACAGACACTACACAAAGAACTTTCACGACTCATCTCTGGTTGTCATCCGGCCCATCTTGCTTCTGGGCTCCCACCCCCAACAGAGACACCATCTCATCTACAGTCATGATTGTCACCTCCTTCCTGCCCCTCACAATTAGATGCTCAATTTCACCCACCATGTCCCAGGGGAATCACAGGCACATCATCCAAGATTGGAATACTCTAGAACACCCCTGTGCCCCCCAGCCTGCCCAGCCCCCTCCTCTTATGCAGCTGGACTCAGGTCTCATCATCCATTTCATGCTGTCTATTCAAATTGAAGGAAAGGAAAATGTAAACGGTAGCGGGAAACCAAGCAGACCTACAGACACGCCATGTTGACAGATACGCATTACAAACAGAGCTAAGCAACAACTTTGTGTCCAGCATTTAGCATATCCTAAAATTATTTTTTTTAAAGACTAAATAAATAAAAGTAAATATTTATGAACATACAAATAATTTTAAAAAATCATAAACATTTTTTAAATGCAGATGTGTACTAAACCAACAAGAGGAGGAAATGTGTTATATATTTAAATTGTTATAATGTAAGTGAATATATATTTATTCATTGTATATTTTTTCACGTTTCCTTCATCATAGTTGACTGTGCTCAAAGATGGCGTTCTAGAGACATCTAGAGGGGATGTCGGAAAATAACAACACAATGAAACAATGAAAACGTGCAGTTCTATTACTGTGTTTGGGACTGTGCCAGTTGTATTATAAATACATAAATACCTTGAAAAATCAAAAATGCTGAAGTGTTGACAGACATCATTTTCCTACAGGAGTTGGAGAACTATCGTTCAGCCATGAGCAGGATGGCAGCAGATATCATAACACTCAGGACACAAGTGTTGACGTTAGAGACAGAAAACAGCCAACTCCGCACTCACCTGCATCTGAATCCGGACCTTGGCCGACATCTGCTGGATGACGCAGACATTGCCGTCATGACGAAGGCAGAGATTGCTGACCATATGGGTAAAAACCAAAGCAGAACACTGAACTGAAGTAGTGATGTCAAACCTTTTTAAACACTGAGTCTAAAATGAAACTCTTTGAATGACATGCGGTCGTACTGCACGTCATTCAAAGGGGTCAAAACTATGTACTTTGTCACTAGTCCTTGTTGTGTGGATTAGAATACATTTCAGTGACAGATAAATTCCCAGCGTAAAACTCTGTGTTTTTAATCCTTGCGAGTGTCTTTTCCCAGGCATGTCTGTGTCATTTGATGATAAGGAAGCTCATTTAGGCCACAGACCCTGATAAGCTGTGTGGGCAGTACATCCCTTATCATCTGAAGGACAGTGTATGGCCCTCAGTGAAATGAAGTTCCTGGAGGCCTCACCACTTCCACCAATGCAGGGAGGCCACAAATTTAAGACCTTTCCACAAAGTAATTTATTACATTTCACAGGACCTACTAGTGTGTACTAGAATCTCAGTAGTCGCTGTGGTCCAAATTAATAACCAAAACATTGTCTATAATATAAAGACCTCAGCCTCACACACTGCTAACATGCTGTGTGCTAGCTAATGTGTGCATCTAACAGTCAGTATTCACTCTACATGTATGAATGGATAACTTCTGACAGTCCAAAGGATTAAACTCATCTAAAGCAATACACTGCGCCACCTATAGGCCAGGGGGAGTACTACATGGTCAAACAAAAGAAATCAAGACAAAATGCCACAATAATTTAACAATTTTACATAATGACATTTGAGACATGTTTAATTCTAGTAAGGAATTAGTGTTCAAACAAAAAAAAATTGACACCTCAGCAGATACAGTTTGGCTCAACCTACTACAACAAGTAAACCATTTTAAGATGATCTAAATGTGTCTATATGGATACCAAATTTCCATCACAAAGTTAATGAAACTTGACTCTTTAAAACTGTGTTCAGTTTGTGCTGCTGTTCTTTTTAAGCATCTCTGAAATTCAAACTGACCAGTGAGACCAATAAGGCGGCTGTGCACAGAGACAGGATTCAACAGCTGCAGAACGAGCTCATCAAGGTTAGAAAATTCACTCTATACCTGTACATTAGCTGCTATGGCCTTTTTTCCAACTTATCTGACTGTGTGTCGCTCAGAAAAATGACAGTGAGAAAGAGCTTCTTCGACTCAAAGGACTCCACCAGTCTGGTCATCCTCTTCAGCAGCAGCAACATCATCAACAGGAGGGTCGGCAGGAAAACCAGGAAAATGTGGCGACCATTGAAGCCCTAGAAGCCACGGTCAGACGACAAGGAAAGGTGAAAATTGCTCATATTTTCTGTGCGAGCTCTTCAGCGGTAACAGTAATGGACAGTTCTGAATCTGTAATGTTGTGACTTTTGTAGGTCATTGAAAAGATGGAGAAAGCTGTAATAAGTAAACCTGGAGAAAAGAAGAGACAAAGCGACGACAAAAGTCTGGTGCAGAGAAGACACCTAGGTAAATAAATGCATAAAACCTGGCTGTAGCTGTAGGTTTATGTATGTGATATATATTCACCATCGTTAGTCAATATTATCAGTATCCAGAGTACTCTTTTCCTGTCTTCACTTGTTAAATTTACTGGCCATCTTACAACTGAAGTCACAGCCATTAGAGGTTTTATATTGTCCCTTAAAGCTGTGATTCTCAACTAGTGGTTTACGACCCAGAAGTGGGTCGCTGGCCAAGGCAAGAAAAAGTTAAAAATCAGCAGTCTTGCCTATTCACACTCTTCAACAGTAGGTGGCAATAATACACCTGCTATTTGAGTTGACATTGGAAACACAGGTACGACACAGGCTTTATGAAATATATGGCTTTTCTTCGTCTTCATTTCCTCTTTTGTTATTGCTACCTGCAGTATAGGATGAGCTGACGTACGTTTTCAGCTGGTTTATTCACTCAAAAACACTTGGTCTCTCGGTTGTGTCGTAGGTAAGACTGACTGGAGGACGAGAGAGGTAGAGTTAGCCACACAGGCTGAAAATTCTCGCCTGCAAGAAGAGCTGGACAAGATTCACAGGCAGCCTTTTCCTGTCACTGTACAGGAGTCAGCAAAGGTCCTTCACACATACCGTACGTCGAGCATTAACACAGAGTCATAGCTATATCGTGATGTGGGCTGTGTATACACAGGAAAAAACAACTCGACCACTTCAGGAAAGTCTGAGTTTACTGAGTAAATTGAAGAGGGCTGAGGCAAGGATCCAAACCCTGGAGGCTCAAGTAAGAAAACAATAACGACACGTTTAGTTACAGATAACAGACACTTTTACAGGCATGGTTTGGGACAGTGCTTTGCTTTTTTGAGTAACAGATGGTGGAAAACTGTAAGGTGTGGGGACAGAAGACTCAGGAACTGTTGTCCAGACTGGATGAGTACAAACACGGCATGGTCCATTCTGAGGACACAATCTTTCCTAATGATTCCTCAGAGAGGAAAGTTTATTCTCACTTCAACAACTGGTCAAAGTAACTGGACAAAATTCACCAAAGAAAACAGACAAACGAGATATCTGGCAGACTATCAGACTATTTAAGATTATAATTCAAGAGTCTCTAGAAGCTTTTTATTTTAATTATGAAAATCTTTCCTAAAGTTTTTTTTATTCTTGTTTTCTGATGTCTATAAACTACTACTCTAACAATTTGGACTTAACATTTCTGTGAATTTTTGGTGGGTAAAAAACTAACATACTACTACTGTTTGGCACCTAAATATACACACAGTTACTGACTGGTTTGTAATGGTTTAAGAGTCAAAAGGATGGGCTTGTCAGGTAAGAGGATGAGCTCAAAGGTGCTCTGAACGTCCACATGACGCTGTTTCTCCACCCTGAAGTTCTCAAGCATCTGAAAGAAAAAGGCGAATAATCAATGAAACTATTAAAATGCTTCAAATGTGGTCTGAAAAATATGCTCTTCTCCTTTGGTTTCCTCACATGAATGAGGAAGAGTTGCATCTCCGCCTCAGCTATTCTGCGTCCTAAACACTGGCGAGGACCAAAGCCGAAGCCCAGACTTCTGAAGTAGTGTACCTGTGTCTTCAGCCAGCGAGACGGCTGATACTGCTCTGGACGGGGAAACACTTTGGGGTCTCTTCCCATTGCATAGAGTCCTAACTGGACTAAAGTCTAAACACAAATCAAGTTATAATTACCCATGAATTTCACATTACATTATTATTTTTTTTAAAAGAAGTTTTAAAGGGCGCTCACCCCGGCTGGTATGTGGTAGTTTTGAATGATGATGTCTTCTGCTGTGTATCTTTGCAAGCTCACAGCAACTGGGTGTAACCTGAGTTATGGAGGGAAACATTGTCATATGATATTGATGAATGACAGATTTTAATTAAATATTAAATAATGAATTAATGTTGTATATATAAATCTCATGTATGTGAGTGAAGTTTTACATATTGCTTAAAACACTGGGTCTGGGACCCACAGGTGTGTCATACAAAAAATGAAAAGATCATGAATAAAATGACCATAAAAGTAGGATTTTAATGATAGTGTACACATATCTTACATTTATATGTGAACTATTTCACAACATTCAGTCTTAGACATTTATTATGGCCTATCATATATCCATATTATGCCACATTTCCAAAATCGTATACATGTTAAACAAATGACATTATTATTATTACTACTATTATTTAAAAAATCAATTTAATATATTTTTATCGTATTAAATAAAAATCACAAGTCAGGCTCATTTCATATTTATCTTTAATCTCCATTACAGTGTGTGTGTGGGGGGGTCTCTGTCCTCTAATATTTCCCCAGTATATTTCATTGTTATACAATATCACTGCTACTTGTATAACGTATAATGTTATTTCACACCTGAGTGTTTCCTTTAAGGCTCCTTTGACCAAAGGTATTCTCTTGAGCATCTCTAGCATGTCTCCCTGACTTTCAGCCCTTGCTGCAGCAATTTCTGCCCTCAGATCCTCCTGAATGGCCGGGTGCTTAGCCAGTTCATACAAGGTCCACAGCAGCGTTATAGATGTCTGAGAAATACAAGCACAGTTAAGTGGCCTCTAAATGTAGAAAAGAAAGTGACATTAAGGATAACATTAAGGATAAAACAATAATGTGTTTCTCACTGTATCTACTCCACCAGCCATTAGCTCCGTGACACTAGCCTTGATGTCTTCAGTGGACAGCTTGTCCAGCATGAGAAGACTAGCCAGGACTCCTGGGTATTTCTTCACCACGCCCGTATCCTGACGTAACTGCCTGTAGATGTTTTGGATACAACGGTCCGCTGACGAAACCAAAAGGCGTAACATTAAAAAAAAGAACTTCTCCAGAGTGAGACTGAAGGTAGGAACAGATGAATTTCACCAAATTCAGAATAATACTGCAGGTTGTGTCCGCATCCGTACCGTGTTTGAAGATCCCATCCCAAGCATCCACATGGTCCTTCCACACTTTTGACCCAATCCGTCTCAGCAGACTGGGTGGTATGTACAACATGGGTGAGGTAGTTTTGAACATACAAGTGATGCAGTCGATGAAATGTTGGGCTTCGGGGTCGATGTAGTCCTGCAGCAAACCCAGGCGTTCGCCATACAGCACAGAACTCACCGCTGTGTAGGAATGGTTTGTGTTAGGTATTAACAAAGGGGTGAAATGGTACAAATACATATGGTAGAACAACTGTCACTCTTACATTCTAGTGCAAATTTAAACAGTTCTTGAGAAAGGTCAGTGGTCCATTTGTTTTGACCACCTCTCTGTATCTTCTTGTGAACTCTGGTCACAAAATCTTGTCCCACTTCATCCAGCAAAGGCACAAAGTTTTCCAACATTTTTGGCGAAATCACTTCCTTGTTGAGAATCACACGGTTTGATCTCCAGTCCTCTCCATCCCTGAATGTGCATGGAAATAAATTAGCTTGTAGGAAAACCATTTAGCACTCTGTTAGCATCCAAACATCAGAGAAGTAGAAAGTACAGAGAGAAAACATGAAACAACACGTACTTTAGTAATACTCCACACTTCTGATTCCTGTACTCTCTGTACGCATTCCATGGTTCGACCTTCAGCCTTTTCGGGTAATGACCCTCTGCTTTGAACAGAATGGCAGCATCCTCAGGGTTGATGATGTTTACACTGTCGTAGTAGCCTATTTTCTCTCTGACAAGCATAAAGTGAGAGCTATCAGAAATTGAAATGTTATTCCCTGATCTAGGTTTAACAAGAAATTTTAGCCCCAGATTATATTAATGTACATGCAATACATATTAGTATAATTTTCCAGAATTACTCTGTTGATGTGACATTACTAGCCACACATTTAATTCCCTGGGAGACTTTTTTTTAAAAAAGCTTCTCATACCTGTAAATGGGTCCAAATGTGTTAAAGTTCTGTAACATGATGTAATGAAGGTTTTTGAAACCATCCATCTTCCAGAAATTGTACAAGTTGGCAACTCCATTCTTCCACAGTCCAGGAATCTCCCTGAAAGGTCTGACAAAACCACTGCTTTCTGAGAAAACCTGCTTGACCATTGGCATACTACTGCTGTAACGCACACTCGATCGTACCATCCTGCCAACAGAAATGCCCACACTCTTCTATACACTTCTCTGCCTTAACCTGTTGTTCTGGCTCTCCCAGGGACACAAAGTGGCAATGAGGAGTTTGGTATAAATAGTCAGCGCCCCTTTACCCCCCCGCCCCCCTTCCCACCACCACCATCACCAGTACAACTGGTGAAGGTCATTCACTGAAATTCATCCACAGAAACCTACCAGTTAATCTGACTTCATGACTTCCTCTGAGCATGAGGATCTACTTAGCTTAGTAGTTTTCTTTATTATTGCAGTAGAATTTGAGTGTTGACAGTCATTCAGCAGTGGGCAAGAAAATACTTGGTTGATGCTTCTTTTATACACCATATTATATGTATATTTATGTTTGTTTTTTTTAAAAAAAAACAAGCATCTCAAAAAATGGGTGTAACATTTTTAATAAAAGCACACAAACACATTCACTTTACAGTGAAAATCAAGGCTTAAAATAAATACATAAACATTGTAAAGTTGGTTTCTATTTCTTGAGAAGTTTTATAAGTTCTTCCAGCCTCATTGCTGTCTTAATGTCTCCCTGGATTTGGAGTCGGCCACTGGTGTAGGCAGCAAATGGCTGGAGTTCAGCCTGGAACATGGCCACGAGGTCACTGTCACTCATGCTGAGTGTCACGTCAGGCTCTCTGCCCAAGGTCCCTGCTCCAACCGAACCACTGCCTAGAAACAAAGAAAGAGTCATTTATATGTACTCTCCTCATGATGAACTCAAGAACAGGATTTATCTCAATTTAAATTCAAATACATTTGAAATATATTAGAAACTAAAACATTTACCTTGACTTAAATCCAGATAGTAGCTCTGATGTCCATCTCTTGAGCTGATGTCAAATTGAAAACAAGCTCTAACCTGTGAAACTAAAGCATCAGAAAGCTGGAGCTTCACAGCACTGAGCAACTTTTCTACAGACACGCCAGACGGAGAGATACTGCTCAGCTCGTCTGTGAGATGTATGCTGTCCCCTGAAAAGAAAGAGGCATTGATAAATGATTTGCAACATTGTTACAGTGATTTTTGTCGTACACAGACGTAGGTGTGTGGTGCTCTACCCTGCTGAGAAAGTGAATTGCCAGTGTGGTTCAAAAAATGCATGGCCAGCTGCTGAATTGGCCCAGCGAGACCCTCCATTCCAGGCACAGATGGAGGCATGATGAAGGATCCAGAGGGGTTTACTTCTGGTGCTTTAAGAAGAGAACCCAAGGTAAGCTCTACTCTGTCCACCTCCAAGCCCCAGGGCTGAGTCATCTCATTTATGTCCATCTGTAGAAAACAAAAAAGACATTTTAAATCTAGAGCTGAGAACCAGGGAAATACCAACAGTGTGTAGCTCTTGCTTATTTTTACCCCCAGATATTCCCCAAGTTTGATCCGTTCAATCTGGATCTCCTGGGCCGTCTTCTTACACAGACTGTGAGTCAAAGCATTCTGTGCTATGACCCTGGTTGAGGCATTCAAGTCCTGGACTGATAGTACAGACAGAACTGGGTTCCAGATCCTGAACTGGATGTCAGCTCCGACTAACAACAAACCTCCATCCCGGGTATTTACCTTTAAAAAATAAAAATGTTACATATTATATGGAAAACAACTATGCTCATTTTCCTTATACATTGTATAAGCAATGACAGTGACATAGTTTGTAACCATTTCACATTCTGAAATACAGAAATTATTATTCACAACCTTTTACATAGCTGCTCAAGAGAAGTTATGTTTAATTAATTAAACACCCTGCATTTATTATAGTGTTTAATTAATCAAATACCCCACATTTATTGAAGTGGAATGAGGCTCGTTTTCTCATTCCTACATCTGTTAAGAAGTGCAAATCCATTTACAACCATGTTTATCTTACGCGCATCACTCACAAAGAACAGTGTAACCACACTGCCATCTACAGGCCAAAATATAACAAAATGCATCGAAACAAGCAGAAAATGTATAATACTTGTATATGTTATCAAGAAAATGCTAAAATCAACGTGACAATGTTTAGATACTTTACCTGGCATGGGGGGATGTTAAAAGCACGTGTACGTAAATCTACTCGCTGCCACTGGTCAATGAGGGGCAGCACGAGAATTACACCTGGGCCCTTTGGGGGACAAATTCGTCCCAGGCGAAACACTACAACTCTCTCATAGTTAGGCACAGTCTGCAAGATATTTAAAATCAAGTATATTATTTTCAGTATATGAGAAACATGTTGTAGGAGATCAATTACAAACAAAATCATTTTTAACTCACTTTAAGTACAAACCATCCTGTTAGTGGGAAGGCTATTACGGTGAAACTGTAGACGAGAAAGATGACAACAATGTTGCACGTCCAGGACAACCATCCCTGAGAGACATCTTAAGGGAAAGAAACAAATGGATGTTGTAGCAATTTTAAATATGATGAATTTAAACGAAATCACCATATATGTTTCCTGTAACTCTAAAGAGGTTTCTGATATTAACATTTACTGACGCTATTTTTACAGTAATGTTTGAATAAATGTTTAATTTAAAATAAAATAATTAAATCGGGTAAACGTAATCACCTTAGTTTTTTAGGGGCTACAGCATGTTATAGTGATGTTTATTTTTTTTCCTTCGCTTTCTGTTGGTTTGCAATCAATAGCAACATTGTTGCATATTTTTAACTTGTACATAGACAAAAAGTAGGAACACTTTCATAATATGTACAACTCAGTCCAAACGACAAAGTAAACAGACAGAACCATTATGTTATTTGCTTCTTCGACATTACTTTTATACAATACACAGCCGCGTCAGAGTTCGACAGCATATCTCTTTATTAGTGTTACTCGCAGGAACTTACCTGTAAAGTTGTTTTCAGAAACATTGGGAATATAGTCAAAGGAGTGACCTTTTGGCCGCTTGAACCCTCTGGAACTTTCAGTGAACAGGCCGTAGGCACTGGAGTCCGTCTGCGGAAGCAAATCATACGACCTATTGGTGCTACTGCTAAACATGGTTAATGTTTCAAATATCCGAAGACACTATTGAATTCGGTCAACCTAACTGTACATTAGGTTATGTCGCAGCTCTCAGACAATTCCTTCATCGTAAAAGCAACTAAACAACAACATCTTGGTATTTGAACAGTTGGTTAGCTGTTGTCATAGAGTTTCGTATTTAACTGCAATTCTTCTTCCTTACCTCAATGTTTACCGATTTATGATTAAATGCGCGTTAGCGCCTCCTAACGCTAAGGTGGACTGAGGTTTTTCGATTCAAAACAAAGTAAAGCCAATTAGGTCAGATTCAGACTGTCTGTTCATAAAATATAAGGGTAATAATTATGATGATAATAATCAGCATAATTATTATTATTATTATTAGTAGTATACAATTCTTTATATAGACAAATTAAAGGAGTGTTGCATCAGGACAATTCTTTATACAGACAAATTAAAGGAGTGTTGCATCAGGCTGGGCCAATCCATTATCTGGTGACGCATTACAGTGGAGAAAGATAAAAGCTTTATATACATATGTAAACACTTGTCCTGCAAATCTGTTTCTACAAGAAATTATATTAATGCAGTGTAAAATTACAATTTGAGTATTTATTGAAGAAACATTTAATATATTTATGTTTCAATTGTTACATGTCCATTTGGGTGTTGTGACTGCCACTACCACAGGGAAGTGAACTACAACTGTAGTCCTAAAGCAGTCTGCATTAGGACAACAAAGGATTGCTGCTTTAGCAATCCTGGTATACTGTACATGTCTGCTCTTTGTGGGTCTTCACAGCTGGTTAAATGCAACATATTGTTAAAAAGTTTATTTAAAAAATTACTAATATGAACAAAAAGAGACGTGGACAACAGTCTTGATAAACTCAAGCATTTAATTTCTGTATTAGCATGTTTTAAGCGTACCACAGACAAATACTAGAGTAGCATTACCATCTGGTGACAGATGTGACAGATCCATGTGTATAATCCCTTTAAGTCTCCCTTGATGTAAGGAAGACTACATACAATCTTTGTAATGACCTTAAATTGTGTATTCAATTATAACATTACAAATCTCAGCATCTATAACTCTGCTATCTTCAGCTCAGACCCATGTCATTCCTCTCCCAATGCAAACAGCATAACTAGTCTATCATTTAAAAAAAAATGTGGCAATGTAATCACTTCAATTTAGGTTTCTGTAAAGACGCCACCATTTTCTAAATATTTTTTGTATGTTTTCAGTTATAGTTTAAGGACTTATTGTCACCTCGTAGCTGTAGTCTTGTTATGCCTTAATTTCGTATGTACACCCTGGTGTTGTAATGCATGGACATCACAATAACTAAAAGAGTTTTTATTACTCGACTCCTAAACTGGCAACTGTGATTTTCTACTTATAATATTGTGATGTAAAATGGCGGCCAACTGCACAGATAACCTGCTTCAAAGGTAATTTAAAAAAATCAAAATAACATTGAATACATTTGAATACATTTTAGGTGCGTGCAAACTTATTGGGGCGTTACTTAAAATAAACGAGTTCGTAATAATTATATTACAATTAAATGTAAAATAATTTTACTTTAATCTTTCATAGTGCACCTTAAGGGGAGCAGCCCTGAATGATAAACATGATAGTTGCCGTAAAACACCGTAGAGGAAGGAGATTGTCGGTACATTCTGCCGTACAGTCCGTCGTACAGTCCGTCTGACGTAAGGCCGTCGTCAGTTGGTGACGCTGTGTCTCTTTGTTGGCTTAGCAGCAGCGACAGTTTGTTGTTATTTTCGCTGCAGCTGAAATCAGGCTCGAGCTAATTTTTGTTCTTCAAGCTACATTTTCCTACACCATAGACCTTCAGGTGTGCTTGTCACAAGTTGATAACCACCTTAGGAATGGACTCAGACGAAGGATATAACTATGAGTATGACGACGAAGAGGAGGAATGTAGCGAAGACAGTGCCGAAGAGGAGCCCGAGGACGACACCCTGGAGCTCGGTGAGGTGGAGTTGGTCGATCCCGTGGTGGCCGGTGGGGAGCGAGATGAGTGCGCCGACACTGGCGGAGGCAGCCACGGTCCGGGCGAAGAGGAGGAAGAGGACTACCGTTTTGAGGTGTTAACTGCTGAGCAAATCCTCCAGCATATGGTGGAGTGTATCAGAGAGGTCAACGAGGTTATCCAGGTAGGTAGTTTGGTACGTGACTGTAAGGAAAGACCGGGGTCCTGGCTGCGCTGAAGCGTCAACAGGCCAGGGGCATTAGCTTAGCTCTTAGCCTGGCAGGAGGCGGTTACTCGCTGGTAGTTTGCAGTTTTTTAACATTAATAAAATTAATACATTTCAAAAATTGTTTCCTTTTGAAATTTAAATAATATTCGCTATGTATAATGTTTGTTACTCAAACGATGTCAAGTGTTTAATTATAGCCACTGTGATATTACTTTTCCAAAACGACTACTGTTTCAGGAAGTAGCCATATCCCGAAGTAGAAGTTGACAGTAAGGTTTGCTAGGCTAATGTTGTCATGCTAACTAGCAAAGTGTACCGATAATAAGAACCTCGCTTTAAGCTACAACATAGAACATGACCACATTCCACGGGAAAAAGAATATATTCCCATGAGTAATATATTTTAAGACAGTCATACAGGGCAGTGTAAAAAGACAATAATATTTTTGGACGTTGGACGAAAGGCTTGGTCATCGAGTTTATTAGCCACTTCAGTCCTTAGCTCATTCTCCCAGCGGTACCATGACTCCTTATCCCGACTGCAAAAAAATGAAAATTCGATGTTTTACACAAGGACACAATTAGCTCACGATTTAGGATTACATTTCCAGACAAACACCTGAGGGACCATGGCTCTTCTTTATCTTGGTCCTCCATTTTCTCTCACTTTGCTTTACTTGGTCAGAATATAAAATGAAAATCGGTTCTGTCCAACTTGTCAGGGTTCATCCGTTAAAATTAAGATTTGTATGTAAGTTACATATAAAACAATCAGTAATGTATTCATTATCAATAAGTCAAATAGACTATGTCTGGGTTTAATACTGGTGGTCCTGTTCAGCCACATGGTTGTTTCTGCTACAGTGGAAAGATGACATAGTGATTCTTCTATAAATAGAATTTAGGTTTAGCTATTTATTTTATCTAAAACGTTAAACGCATAAAAACAATATTGTCTGCATGAAAATTTAATGAATAAATAAGTCATTAATAAATTATACAGCGATACAAATGTTAAAATCCAAATCAAATATGAATGTGACTAAGGCCGTAGCTTTAGAAGGTGATAGTGTAATATTATGACTTCGTCTTTATCAGTAGTTATCTGTATCCTTTGCATTCTGGTAAAAGGCCATAAAGCAATACAGTATATTGGCATACTTTTTATTGCTGTATTTGAAAGGAAACAAGTTGTGGAGTATGACAAGCATAATGTTTCTGGTGTTAATTGTAAATACTAAATAGACACAAACAGTAAGTCCCTTAGTCAATCATGTTGTCAGTTTTCTGAATAAATCTTGAGGTTTAAATGAGGAAGGCCATACTTTTTCGAAAAGACGCAATCAACAGATTTCGCAATCAGATATGTTGGTATTGATCCACATGCTGCTCTTAAGAGCGACCTTTATCAGCCATCTTTTCCTGTGCATACGTTTTTTTTAAACTCCTGCGGACTGGGGACAGTCAGTAACTTCAAACACTTAGTGTTCAATAACCTGTTCAGTGTGTACTTAAAATGGATATATTCAACACACTTACATTGTTATGTACTGCTCACTATATGAATAACTTAATGGTTACATTTTGGTTATAATTTAAATCACCCAACCATATTCTCTGCTCAGCATATTGCTCATTGGTGTGTTTGTAAATGAGTTAATTTGCTGAGTTCAGATTGGACAAGGGAGAATTGAGACTTGTGTCTGGCCATTGACAAGAGCCTGTTTTTTTAAAGAATGCAGTGGTGGTTTGTCATAGTGGGACTGTTTACAACAGCAGCAGACAAATCTCTGGAGCACCTCTGGTGAATGTTTGCGCTTGAGTCACCTGTAGGGAGTAAAACATACTTGAATTCTTATTCACTGAATTAGCTGGAGCTACTACTTACCAGTTACTTTCTGAGTTTTTGCATTTTCTTAATATTAATTAAATTAACACAAGTCCTTTTGAAATTTAAATAATATTCTCTATGTATACAGTTTTGCTTAAATAAAAAAAAAAATTCTAATAACATTAAACCTACAGTCTCTCAGGTCTTGGTTTACTTACCACCTATTTACTACCTTTGTATTAAGCCATAAACATTTCAAAACAGTCTTTTTAACTTTTAACCTACTCTTGAACCTACTCTCCTAAGGTCACTTCCAATGTTTTTTAAACCACATGAATGGTAGTTTGTTGGGTCATAAACAGCTGGCAGCTGCCCACTGAAAATTCTCCAGATGTTGCTGACCTTTAAGTAGTGCTGAATCACTTAAGACATTCAGATAGTGTCACAGAGAACGTGATGTAACTTTTTTTTTGTCTTATCCTGACATTCAAGTTTTTATTAAATATTGTAATTAAAGAGTATTCATGCCTGCCTTAAAAGCCACGCACATACTGTAGACGTGTGAGAAGTCATCATGGTGGTCTAACACTGAACACTAAAACGTAGCGTGAAGTGTTGGATTTCTGGTTCATTTCTGATCTGTGATTTATCCGCCCTCTAGAATCCTGCAACGATAACGCGCATCCTTCTCAGTCACTTCAACTGGGATAAAGAAAAGCTCATGGAAAGGTACCAACATTTGAAATATATTCTATCACCATCATATTTTAACCCGGATCCTGAATATCTGCATGTTTTGAAAAACGCTGGTTTCTTTTCTTAAATTTCTGCAGGTATTTTGACGGTAATCTGGACAAGCTTTTTTCTGAGTGTCATGTCATTAACCCCAGTAAGAAGTCTCGCATTAGGACCCCAATAAACACTAGGTCATCGGCACAGGACATGCCATGTCAGATCTGCTATCTGAACTTCCCAAACTCCGTAAGTCACATTTGGAAACCTTTTTATTTAAAACCTTTTGAACAGAAATTACAATATAATATACTGTATTATATTCCTATTATATTATATTCCTAGTGTTCTTGGCTGAAAAGGGCAGTAGAGAATGACTCAATCTCATTTTGAAACTACTAAATATTGCCAACACAAAATTACTGTTTATTGCCTTGAAACATCTGTTTAGTGAGGTTCCTATTGTCCTGAATATCACTAAACAGATGCTTGGTTGTCACTCTTTTAAAGCACGAAAGAGCTTTTTTTTCTTAGCTTTTTTCACTCTGCCACTCAGACAATAGCCATTCATGCAAAGCGTTGCCTTACCGAACCCTTCATTGTCCAAGCACAGGTTGATTGGACGCCAATGAGAAATGATGACACCAATAGGACCTGATAGAGACATAGCATGGCTGTGAATTAAAATCATTATAATTTCAGTAAAGTTTTTTTAAAGTAGAAAAGCAACTGAAAACAAAGGGCATTTAAACACAGCACTGATACAAAAGAATCAATTCATGGGTTGTGCTACACATCTTCATTGACTGTGTTCTCTGCAGTTTTTTACAGGCTTGGAGTGTGGACACAAGTTCTGCATGCAGTGCTGGGGAGATTACCTGACCACCAAAATCATAGAAGAAGGAATGGGACAGGTACTTGATTAGGCTGATCGATGCATCAGTCTTTTCAAGCATTTAACTAACCTTGTGCTCTCTATATTTTTTCTACTCAGACCATTTCTTGCCCTGCCCATAGTTGTGACATTTTGGTTGATGACAACACAGTCATGTGAGTATCATGTCATTTCATGTATTTGTGACTGTGTCTTAGATCATCACAGGTTCAAGCAGCTTTTCCAGAAAAGTGCTTCTATTTGCTTTTGGTTTTAATGTATTTGTAAGTTAGTTTGCTGTTTAACATGGATATTAATGTTTGAGAGAAGGTGGTACTTTTGGAGGTACTTCTACAAGCAGTTCAACAGTCAACAACCAATGTTGGTTTAAGAGGCAGCATCCCCCTTTGTGTTGTTTTTTTCTAAGGCAAGGTTGGGTTGTGACTCATTACTTTGTGCCAAATGTTGAAACAGAATTGTCTGTCTGTTTACAAAAAATGTTTCTCAGAGACAGACAACGACAAAGATCATTTTTGACAGTGTAATGTTGTACTAAAAAGTTTGCTCCTGCGTTGTCGTAAGGAAGCTAAAAATATTTTTGTGGAAAACACCTTTGGTTGTTCAAGCTAATGTTCAGTTTTGATCAGCAGAAAGAAAGTTATACTCCAAAGATGATGGTGCATTTTACCAGCCAGATAATAGTCCGATTGGTAAAGAAAGATGCATAACTTGGCATCTGTTGTGGCACAGGGCTGTATGAGCACTCATGACTGTGGAAAACTGCATATTTATAAAGCCGTCATTAATACAAAGGCACATTATAAATACTATATGAATGTGGCATCTGAAAGTCTTCCTATTTACGAATTTGCCTGATAAATTAGTAAAAAAATAAAATTTACACAGAAAAAACAAACATTGTTATCCCAAACATGGAGGCTAATCTTTTGCACCAGCTTCTAAGCTGACAGTAATTGTCTTAACCTACTTTCTGATCCCACTGCCTAGTAAGAGGTCTATTAGCATATTCAATACAAGTCTTCAACAGGAACTGCAACAGCGTCCCTCTAACAGGAACATTATTTATAAACCACAATCCGTTGTGTGATTCGGTAAAATAAAAAAAAAGTGTTAAAAATACTTGGTCAGTATGAGAATCCTGATTAAAATCCTTTTTCAAAGTAGGAAAAAGGTTTTAAAAAGTTCAACGTTTGAAAGGTAGAGAAAAAAAAATTCAAAAACATGTTTAACAGCTCTACATTTTTAATAATACTTTTGTCGGTACTCAGCTGTGTTTGATTAAGTGACATCAGTTTTCCCCTAAAATATTAGAAAAACTTAAAAGCATTTGATTTTGGCACATAAGCACATCTGACCTGTTAGCAAAGAAATCTCCCATAATTCTATAAAAAGAGAGTTCTTTGATGCAAATAGTGTTTAAATGTAAATGAATTATGTGTGGAAGTATAGCTTTGTCATTTTAGGAAATGAAGGCAAATTTAAAGATTTTGTCTTTTGTATCCTCACGTGTGCTGTAATCCAGACCAATGACAATGTATTATTCTTCTCCTATAGGCGTCTCATTACAGATTCAAAAGTAAAGTTGAAGTACCAGCATTTAATTACAAATAGTTTTGTAGAGGTAAGTTCTAGGTTTTTTTTGTTCCTTTTATTAGTTCATTCAAATAATCAGTAAACACTTGACTTGTAATGTTGAGTCATTAGATTACACATTATTATTATATTACATTTCATACCTGGAGAAAACTATTAATTTCTAAACCTTTAGATCTAAATTGTCTTTATTACTTCTTTCAAGTGCAATCGACTGTTAAAGTGGTGCCCTGCACCAGACTGCCATCACGTTGTCAAGGTCCAATACCCAGATGCCAAGCCAGTAAGGTGCAAGTGTGGCCGTCAGTTCTGGTAAGAGGTTATTTGAATAGGTTTCAATATGAATATTGTGTTATTAGAGTATTTCACTGTCATTGATGCTTTTTAAAATATTTGATTTGACCTCCAATGACTCCTCCTTTTATAGTTTTAACTGCGGAGAGAATTGGCATGATCCAGTTAAGTGTAAGGTGAGCCACTCTGCAGTGATCAGTTAAAACTAGAAACAACACATTTTTTCCTCCTCATTTTGCTAAAAATGGACTTATTTTCTCCATAACAAGTTTTTATTCTCCACCTAATGATTTTGTAGTGGCTGAGAAAATGGATCAAGAAATGTGATGATGACAGTGAAACTTCAAACTGGATTGCAGCAAACACCAAGGTAATTAATTAACACTACTACAGTATGATTTTAAATAAATACCACAGCATTTTGAGAAATATTGGTTCTTTGACAAAACATTATTTTTTTTTGTAGCTGAACGTTTACATTTAGTTGAATTATTATTATTATTGTTATTTTGCAATCATTGTTGCTTTGCATCATTTTGAACAGGAGTGTCCAAAATGTCACGTGACCATCGAGAAAGATGGTGGCTGCAATCATATGGTTTGTCGAAACCAGAACTGCAAAGCTGAGTTCTGCTGGGTCTGCTTAGGTCCATGGGAGCCCCATGGCTCTGCCTGGTGAGTCTTTCTGCAGACAGTGCAAACAGGAAGCACTGAAGAATTTCAAAAATCATCATTTTTGGTTTTAACAGTAAAATAAACATCAGTAAAATAAAATAGTTTAACACTGAAGTGTGTTGGCTTTCTCAGGGTATTTCCAGTTTCTTCCCAACACAGTTTTTGTGCTTGTTTGTATTATTGAATACAGTTTATTTATTTTTAAACTATACAAGTACAAATAAATGTGGAATGTGAAATAAATGTGAAGGTCTGTATAACGAAACGACTCAGTCCAGCTGGTCATGTTCACTTGTATGATGTGTCCTATTCTATTGTGCATTCTGTACGACTGTTATAAATATTACAAATAGTAAGCTTGGAGCTTCTGTGGCTAACTGTAGAGTATCTCCAAGCTTACATCGTGTTGGCTTTAGCGTGAGCTTCCACTTCTGTTCTCCGACACAGACATGTTCATAATGATCAACTGCAAAACCAGTGAGATGCAGCACGCCAAAACTGGTTATAATCACTTTATAATCAGTTGTAACAAAACACTCATATAAGATATGATTCCCAATTTTTTTTATAACGCAATTTTTTAAAACAAGATTAGCTCTAGACAAATTATGACCAAATACAATGATCCTGTATTTGTAAGAACTATTCAAAAAGACATTTAAACCTAACTTTTTATTAGCCTAAAACAGAACTAAACTAACAAACTTCTCCAGACTGACTTTTCCAGTTGGCACAATTTACTTAATTAATAAATAATCAGTCCCTAACACCCCTTATTAAAAACCTAAATCAGTAACAGGATCTGTTGCGATAATTTGTTGAAATTATTTCATTGGTTGCTGTGTTTTCAGGTACAACTGCAATCGCTACAATGAAGATGATGCCAAGGCAGCCAGAGATGCTCAAGAGGTAATAAAACACACTTTAATTATATATTTCTTAACCGTTGCATACTGTCATCTTTGATGTGTATACTATATAACTGTTCACTTTGGTGATGGGTTAAAAGCAGAGGTCACATTTCGTTGTGTGCAGTGGTGTGCTGTGTCACAATGACAAGTAGTTCACTTTATATAATGGCTCCCCCCCCCAGTGTGTGACATGTTCTTCAAAAATGTCTTTATGTAAGACAATATCTATCTGGCAGCTGTAAATGCATTCAACAAATGTCTTTTATTTGTTGCACATTAAAAAGAATTGTATGCTCTGACATGATTTGGTCTTAATTGATTAGAAGAAACTGGACCTACATGGAAGGCACTTAGTGTACTGTTGTCTGTGCAGCGCTCCAGGGCAGCCTTGCAGAGGTACCTGTTCTACTGCAACCGCTACATGAACCACATGCAGAGCCTGCGCTTTGAGCACAAGCTCTACGCTCAGGTCAAGCAGAAGATGGAGGAAATGCAACAGCACAACATGTCCTGGATTGAGGTGCAATTCCTGAAGAAGGCCGTGGACGTGCTGTGCCAGTGCCGATCAACCCTTATGTTCACCTACGTCTTTGCCTTCTACCTCAAGAAGAACAACCAGTCCATTATTTTTGAGGTAGGATATACTGAATTGTTTTGGTTTGACCATCAGTTTAATAAGTACCACAGTAGCTGAAGTGGTTGTGTCCATGGCCAAATCTTGCCAGTATTTAACCCATACCTTTATGAATTTGTGTAATGCTGCAGAGCAACATTGTATTAATGTGTTTTTAGAATAGAATAGAATAAAACTTGGTACCTGTTAATTTGTTTCTCTCTATTCTGTTCTATTCATATTGTCATCACTCAATAAATATGTTAATTCTTTTGGAACAGAACAACCAGGCAGACCTGGAAAATGCCACAGAGGTGCTGTCTGGATACTTAGAGAGAGACATATCCCAGGATTCATTGCAGGATATCAAGCAGAAAGTACAAGATAAGTATAGGTCAGTAAGAAGAACAGTGTGGAATTATTTTCTGCTATTTGTCTGCCTTTACACTCATGTATGTATTCCTATTGTATTTGGTTTTTCACCAGATACTGTGAGAGCAGGCGAAGAGTGCTGCTACAGCACGTTCATGAAGGCTATGAGAAGGACCTGTGGGAGTACATTGAGGATTGAGGACACGTCCCAGTGCAACGGACTCTTGAGTATCTTGACAAACTAGAGCGCTGATGCAATTTAACAGGCAGCACGGGCCTTCTGCCTCCTCTCCTTTGGCAAAACAACCATTTTTGCATCATTTTTCCTGGATTTGTTAAACAGAATCTTAAAAATAAATTCTATTTAAATAAAAAAAAGGTAGAGTACTAAAACAAAGGTGTACTACAGTATTGTTAGCAACAGAGTGGCGTCTTGAGAAAGCTGAAAATCCATCTTCAACGAATCTTTTGGCTTGTATTGCTACACCTCCCCTGAACCATTTTATTTTCTTTTTTTTTGCTTGTGAATCTTTTTGTTTTGATTACCCGCCCACTACCCTTACTCCCCAATAGTGTGAAAATGTTTTCAACACAGCTTTAATTGTCCTGATCATGTCTGCTCCCTGTGGTGAGAACCTTATCTGGGTGGCTGAATGCTGATTGGCTGATTGCAAAAGGGGCAAAGATATTTCGGGGGGGAGGGAGAGATAAAAAAAAAGTCATTAAAAGAACAAAATAGCCGGTCTGTATTTTTCAATTTGTAAATAGTCCATATGCATGGAAGTTTAAGAGCAAGAGTGACACGTGTTTGATTTTCTTTGGGGGGGGGGATTTTTGAAATATTTATTCTTTACCAATAACAACAAAAGTGTACTTGACCTTGAAAGTGGGCACTGTCCACTCCCTCCATGGTGTTTGGGGATTTGGTCTTTGGCAATAAGGCATTCGCCCTCTCATCTTCGGTCTCTACAGAGCAGCGCACACTTAGGCCACATCAGTGAATATAAATGGAGACTGAAAGAGGGACATTTTTTTGAAGTTGCTGAAGATGATCAGATATGAGTTTTACAGTTCAAAGGAAAGGTTGAGTGCTCTGGGCCCAGTGTTTTTCTCTTCTAACCATTTGCTGTTCCTTATTAGTTGTTTTTTAGAGGTGTTTAACATTTAAGAAAATAACTAATTATTTGTAAGAGCCAAACTGAGTGACATTCACTCTTTTTTTTTCTCCCGTCTCTTCTCCCTCTTTCCCGACTTGGACTTGGAGTAGCCTTCTTTAAGCTTAGCTCGCACGTTGGGAATTGACTCAGAGTGGTAGAATGTACTGACGGCACAGCTTTGTAGTGCTGCTGCTAATTGGGCTGGACGCTGTCAAACAGGGTCAGGCGTTCCTATTGCTCCTGGAGGGAATACCGGATGGACCCGCGGCACGGACTGATGGCGGACGCTCCTCTTTGAAGAGATCTCTGGTTCACAGTGAGACTGAAAGTTGCTTTAAACAGAGCTGCACAGATAGACTGATGTGATCCTTACAGGCAGAAGAGGAACTTAGGGCAAGCTTCTAGAAGTTGTAGGACCGTTATATAAAGCTGTAATGCTTTTGGCATTGAAGACTTTTCGCACATGGGTTAAGGATTGGACATTAAAATGTCAGTGCCCCACGCTGGTTTTACATTGTTCAGGATGGTGGTTGCTCTGGTTGTGAAGCTCTTAGATTCTTCATGCGCTTTCATGTCTTTGGAACACGGCAGTCTTCATAAGATTGACTGGAGGCGACAGGAAAACGCAGGCACCGACGCAAGTCAGAAGACGACACCAAAGTGTAAGCCATCATTAAAAACACATCCTTTGACCCAGTTTCAGACCGTTGGGGAATTCTCGCCCAAATGCTTCTCATGTGTTAAAACTTATTATTATTTTATCCTAGCAAATTATAAAACTGTATTGTTTATTTGAATAAATGTCATGAGAAATCCAATCTTCTTGGGGTTCTGTGTGAGTCATTAGAGTAGGTTTGGTCTTAATCCAAGTAAAAACTGAAAACACCCACAATGCATTTCTGTGCTATGTTTTTGTAGTGTATGACAGAAATGAACAGGTCTGTATCTTCTGGGAGACTTTTATGTTAATCTTGTCACCTCTTGAACTTTTTGTTTTACTTTCACAGTAGAGTTGATTCCTATCACCAATACTTCAGTGAAGACCCTGTTGTGTGTCATTTTGCCTTGCATAAAAAAATAATGGTGAGAATTTGAAAAGGTGGATTTCTTTCACTCCTCTGTCCTGAAGGCAGCGGCAGCTCAACCTGCAGTCACTACCATAACCATAACTGTGTCTCGAGATCACAGCCTTGATTGTCTTCAGGTAGATCAAACACATTTCCTAATGTTTTAAGTAACAGAAGCAGCTGTTTGCATTAATGAGTCACTCAACAACTTTTAAAAACTTTTCTACATCCTCTTTAATTCTGCTTTTAAAGGTTGTTTATTTTCTATTAGTGTAAGATGTGGGAGACATTGGTTTTCTGTTTTGAAGAAAATATTAAAGTTCAAAAATGTTTCAACCATTGTTCTTCTATGGGTGGTTGATTGATTATAGTGGTTGGACTTTTGCACTTATCCTGACAGCTGTTAACAGACAGATCTTTATATCAGTGTTTCTCAACCTTTTATGAGCCATGACATATTTTACCTCAGAAAAATTCTATGACTCGCCATCACACTGAAACGTCAGAACTATATGTGATGTGATGTAATGAAAACTATTTAATTTACTTTCTCATTGAATCTTGTTGAGAATAATCATAATACTCATTTTGTAGGAATTTAAGAAAGATGCAATAATATTTTGAATAACAGGGTTTTTTGTTGTTTTTGTTTTACATGCATATGCTGCTATCTGGTGGAAGAGTAATTGTTCTACCTTTAACTATCGCATAAATGAATGAAGACGAATTTGTAAAAAAGTTATACTTTCCACAGTATACCTACTGATCTCTTAAGGCACACTATTGTACCGCGGGTCAATGGTTAATAATCACTCTTTGTAAAGTACATAGTTTACAAAATAGCAGTTCCATCAGGACAATGAGTTTACAAATATTACCGCTAGGTGGGGACATAGATTCACATTACAGAATCACCGTGCTGCTTTTGCTAACGTCCAATCACTGTGACGTTTAAGAAAAAGCTATACATTTTAATAATAATAACAATTTGATAATAAAACGGGGGACACCTCGTCATTTCATAAAAAGGCTTTATTAAAAAAAAACTTTCACCACACACATACAAGAAGTCGTTACAAAAGACAAATATAAAAGTAATTCAGTCCACAAAATGATGACGTTTAAATAAAATGGTTGATGGTGAACATGTACACGTTTATAGTGACTGAAGACCAGGCTGTAGTTTGACGTACAGAAGTGCTGCCTCTGTTCACACGTTGTTCCACTGCTATGACCGCGCACCGCCACAGACTGACATTCTACCACATCATGACTGTGTACGTTGTGCTAGAGTAAAAAAAACTTCTTTTTTTTTTTTACAAAAAGGGGGAAATAAATATGCAATATCTGCTTGTAAAATTAAATAGTTCATTATAATTATTTTGTCTTTTTATTATTCACTAAAAAAGCCCTTTTTCTTTGCAGTGAGGAAGTGAAGAGTGAACTGGAAAAGCCAACCGTCAATAAAAGGACGCTAATATGAGTGACAGGATGCTGTGTTCGCGCCATCCCCGGATGAAGAACGTGCCCGTGGCTCTCAGCAGACAGGTACCGTATTCCAAGAACAAAACTATTCTCTTATAGAAATGTATAAGTAAAGCCTTCACACAAAAGGTAAAACATACTCTCACCGTAAACTACAGGCACAGTGGTGTATTCACATTAAAACTACTCAATTTTTAGCCAGCCCTTTTTATAGTCGATTAGCAGCTCAAGGTAGTACTTCCATTCTGGTTCACTGTCGTACTTGACTTCAAAAATAGTTTTGAGTGGGTTGGAATGGGCCTCGTGGATACGTAGTACCTGTCCACTGTACCACACTTCAGACTTGTCGTCCTCCTCGTAAAGATGGCGGATCCTCTTACCCACCAGGTCTGGGTAGTACTGCCTAATTGCCCGCCGAGCCTTGTGAACAGCGGAACGTAACACCCAGCGACTCCTGTGTTCAGCACTGTGGCACGCAGACAAGTAGGGACAGTATTTGATCTTCTGCAGGGGTCCGTGTTTGCCTTTAGAGGAGGATTTGAGGGGTCGTAAGGTTTGGGAGAACTTTCCAGTCCTCTGCCACCGGTGGCTCGCTTTGCTTGACATCCTGTAGAGGTCGCTGTTGTGGCTCTTCTCTCCCTCTGCACTGTGGGCCTCAGCTAATTCCCCAGAGTAAGACACTGCTCTGTAGTGAGCTCTGTCTTTGTCAAGACCTTTGCCAAACAACTTTTTTAATTTGAGGATCATGCCCGAGCAACTCTTAGATTCAACCGCAGATGTGGAGCAACCACTAGGCTGCGGCGTGGATGTTTCCTCGGTTTCTTCTGTGTCAGTGCAATGTGGAGAAAGCTGATTTAAACTCAAGGGACACATCCAGGATGACTCAGATGTCAGACTGTAGGGAGTAGGTGACTCAAAGTCGGCTTCTGTGCCAACGGCTCTGATGTTCATACACTCAGGTTGACTGCTTATCTTTTTCTGGCCTTCTTCATTTGACGTACCTCCACTGGCAGTCTTTTCCGTTTCATCTGCCTCCTCCTTCCCCTCCTCATCCTCTTCGGACAAACTGGTGTCCAGAAACATGCGCCTCGAGCTTCTCTTTACCCTACTCTTTATTTTATTCTTGCTCAAAGATGATTTTAATTCAGCTGGATTTTTCAGTGCCTCAGGCTCCAGGGGTGAGTCAGACGGGGAGCTGATGTCTGGAAACACCAGAGTCTCCTCACTGTGGTTGTCTTTGTCTCTGTTAGCAAGAACGTCCACATCTAGTCCTGTAAGACAGGGAGAGTTCAGCAATGAGCAGAGGTCAGAACATTAACACTGACAGGTTGATGACAAGCCGGGATTAGAACTTTTGTTAATTTATTTGTGAAGGGGAAATTAGCAGGTCAGGTGGTGATGGGACACCACAAAGTATTTTATAGGCGACAGTATTAAAAGCAGTGGGAGATGACACAGTGGGAAGCCAGGGGACAGTCAGCTTCTACAAAGGATGAATATCATTCAGACACCAAAAGAAAGAAGAAGTTTGGTGTCCCAAACCATGTGGACAGCTAATGAAATCAGAAGAAATCAGAACTTGTATTTATACCAATTCACCTCATGTCATGTCAAATTCATTTTCTCTTTATTTAAATTTAGAAATTCAAAATGAAAGGTGAAGGGCATTGTTGGTGCTACACCTGAGACTGCCATTTAAAGTAGTGTTTGGTAGAGCAGGTTATATAACATAACTCCTATTATATTAATATTATATTACATTACATCATGATCTACTATAGTGTTGAATGTGACCTTTATCCTTGGACTTTACACGTCCTCCCTGTGCATGTGTGGTGTTTTGTTTTTTTCCGTATATATATACACACATATACATATATACACATATATGTATATACATATATATACATATACATATTATTTAAATTATTGATTGAAGATGAACCAGATTCATTTCCAGATGCTTTGACAAATTATGTTTATGCAAATTTGAACAAGTGTTCTTTATAGCCCTGTGGTTTGGTCATTCAAATTCAACTGCAAATAAAATTAGTTTTGTTAAAACATATATCCTGAATCGCATAAAGCATTTACCATAAGATCAATTCACAACATCAATCTCGAGTGTGACTGGACCACACCGCCTGTCTAATGACCTTCAAGGTCCACGAACACCAACTAAAAAAATCACGATGATTTTCTCCATTCATGTGTCAAGCGCTAAAGCTCTTGCCTCCACCCAGTGATCCCCCCTCACCCCTAAAGCATCATGCAACCTGCAGTGATTGAGAAAAGGAAAAAAAGACTGCATTCTAAAAAGAAAAAGTCAAAGAAAAGTGATACTGGGTGAAACATATACCTGGACTTGCTTTAGGACATCAGGAGAAGATGATTCTGAAAAAAAATAAATGGATTGTATATTTATATTTAAATATAAATTGTAAATAATGTACCGAAGAAAAACATAATAAAACAAAACGTATAAACGTGTCAAAATCAAGTAGTAAAACATAAAATGAAGTTAGAAAATGAAGCAAAAAAATAAAACTGCAGTTTTTAAAACCGTAAGTGCAGTAGTTCTATTAGCCGTTTCATTAGACGTTTAAGTCGTAATCAACACATCCCTGTTACCTAAAAGCCTTTACGTGTAGTTCTAACAATCAGTTCCTGGTTCATTCACCTGTTTGAATGTTTGTTTGCTTCACTTTTTCCCCCCCAAATGCCCCAGGAGAGGTAATTAACACAACCGTTGCACATAACACCTTACACCTGTGTGTTATGATCGTCATCATAGAGAGACACAAAACTCTACAACACCCTCCCAGGATTACACTGATTCTGAAAATAAATATATATATATTTGAAATCTGAGATTAATAAAGTAAAGTTAACTTTTTTTCTTTCTCTGTGAAGAAAACCCTTTATTTCCACTCAAATCAACAGCAGCGTGAACACGAACTCACCAAGATGTTTGCAGACGCAAGCGTAATACAGAAGGTTGACCACGTCAGCGTAGATGTCAGGCAAGTGCTTCAGGGACATCAGTCTCCGGAGACGGGAAGAGCAGGCCCGCTTGTGCAGCTGGATGAGGATCTTCTCCTCAGACAGCGTGGTTGGACGTAGCTCCACCTTGTGCTCGTGGAGGACCTGGTCAATGAAGCTGCTCTGGACTGTTGGAAACAGCAGCTCCTTTATCACCAGCATGGGGAGGAAGATCGCCCCCGCGCGCATGACATGCGGAAATGGACATCGTTTCTGACTGGTGTACTCCCTCAACCTCTGGAGGACGTTGTGGAACGCGGCCATCATCTCCTCATTGAGCCACTTCTCTCTGGCTTCTATGCCCAGCAGACAGGAGACTTTCTGGACTTTGGTTGACTGGGATGATGGTTCAGTCAGATGTAGCTGAGACAACCAGGCTCTGAGCTCCTGCTCTGAAGAGGCAAACACCGATTTGGAAATGAGCTTACAGAGGGAATGATGCAGCTCGAGGAAGTGCTTCCGGACAGGCATCTGGGGCTCTGGTTTTGGTGTGCTAGTAGCAGTGGGCGACTTATCTGGTGGTGGAGTCAGACTAGGAGGTTTTGTGTCCTGGAGAAGGATTTTGCAGGTGGAAGGTGGCGTGCTCTGAGGAAGAGCGATTCTGACGTTGCTCTCAGATGTTCGGGTTGTCGTTTGTGCTTCGGCTGTGGCGGTGGCCAACTGTTCAGTGGATGTGTACGTTTCAGGGGCTGATTGCATGTGTGATGTCAACTCAACAAACGTAGATTTATGTGAGGTTTCGTGGTTTTCATCAGTAAGGAAGGGTTTACTCTCAGGGTCATCTGCTTCACATTTTCTAATAATCAGCATGGGGTCACTGTCGACTGAGTCGGCCTCTTCAGGCTCCTGTTTGATTATGACCTTTGTGAAATCCTGCGGAAGCGCAGGAGTCTCCTCCGGTGTGTTATCTGGGCCCTGTGGTTCCATTTTTTCCACTTTAATTTTTCTGTGTTCTGGACCTTCTACCTCTGGCCGTTCAGCTGCAGCGTCTGAGTTACAAACAGTAGAGATAACAGTGCGTTGTTCACCTTCATTGGACATTTTATGTCTCATGTCCGGCTTGGCCTCAAACTGCTCTGGAGAGTGCTCAGTTTTCCGACTGACTCTGTTTGGACATGTGTTTGTCTGATACGGTGCCAGACTGAAAACACTGTCAATAACTGGCATCAGAGGGTTGACAGGTTTCATTTCAACTTTCAGAGGGTGATCTTCCAACTTTTGTCCTTTTGTTATGGGCTCAGTCTCACAGCAGTCCCTTTTCTCCTTCTTTATTTTGATATCCGTCGGTGAGCTGGAGAAACTTCTCTTCATACTACCCTTAATAACAGAACAACCTGAGCTGAATCTGGGACTATTATGGCCATTTCCTTGCAAAAGTGGGGGACAATAAATAATTCGTTGCACATTTGCACTGTTGCTCCCAGCTGTATGGTGACTGGGTGACAGGGGCATCCATGCAGCTGGTGGAACAGGTAGGCATGTTGGCTGTTTTACCCAAGGAAGATGGGATTCACAGGAGGAAGGGTCTCTGACTCTGTTTACGCTCAAGTCCCCCGCTGGACGAAGGTGCGTGTCTGTCAGCAGACTAGAGATTGAGGGAAAACATTTCATGTTGTGCGTTGAGACCATTTGGTGCTGGTTTGAATACTTGGTCGGACTGGTTGGGTCGCGACACAGGAAGGGTAAGGACTGTCTGGCCTGGTCAACATGAGGGCTGGGGTTGTCTTTGTCCTTCTGAAGACTGGCCCTAGGTTGAAGCCTTTCTTGACTGGATGAGGAAACATTTATGCCATTACTGTGAAAACCTGGAGGTGCACTAGGCCTCATCAGAGGCATTCTCACTTGGTCTGCATTTAAATGGATTCTGGGGACTAGGTAGCAGGGGTAGTCAAAGCCGTGCATCAAGGAATGACTGGGTAATGTTTCAGTTCTAGGCAAAGGAATTTCTCCATGAAATGATTGAGGCACTATGTAATGTTCCTGGGGGACTGGGACTGCATGTTTGAGGATGACAGGAATGTCTTCTCTCTGCTTACTGCCTAGGTTTTTACACTGTGTACTCTTTTGTGGCTCCTCGTTTGCCTGGGGGTAGTAAAACACTGGGTACTGTGTTAGATGGCCATATTTGGACATGGACGAGTGTTCCTGATAAACCTCTGAGGTCAGATGCTCATATGTGGGATGGGAGGAGTATAAACCGGGGTAGCTTCTAGGGGGAGTATTTAACAGCTGGCTCTGTTCACTTAATGTGCCAAACAGTGTGCGAGTTGGGGTGCAGGGGTAACTGCTGTAGTTTGGGTCAATCCCAGCAGGCAGAGTCATTGTGGGCCTGGGGCTGTGCTTTTCCGTGGTGATTCTCTTCGGTGGTTTGGCTCCGAGCTCATACGCTGAAGGTCTCTGCTGCAGAGCTGCGTCTGCTGCCTTTCTCAGGAGAGGGGGTCTGTCAGTGTAGTGAGCATCTGTTGGTATCCACTCAGGCTGGTAGACGGTTTTGGTTGGCCTCGGGGAGCCACGCTCCACGATGTAGCGATGTCCCATCATACAGCCCAGTTCATTACAGCAAAGGTTTGGTCCATAAAGCGGCTTATGGACGGCAAAGTACAGAGAGTTTTCCGGAGGTGGAGTTGGATTCTCACCTCTGCTGCTTTGTTCCCTGACAGTCACTGATGTGGCAGCTGTGGTAGTGCTAACCACAGGGCTTTTAGTGTACAACGTAAAGCCCTGTTTGACTGGGACGTGACATGGTGGCGAGGAATGAGGTTGTTTTTTCTCCGACGAAGCGTCTTGCCTGTAAAATATGTGGTTCTGTCCTTCCATGCCAGGGCGGTGACTCACAGGACTGCGGCCGTCCAGCAGAGAGCTCTTAGAGTTGGTCCACGGGACTGTAAAACCTGCTCCTTCCACTTTCCTGGGTTCGTAAGTAAAATATGCCCCGCTGTAATGAAGCGCCTGCTTATCTAGGCCCACGGCCAGGTTTGGAGGATTGGGCAAAACTGAAGATGTCATCGTTCCGTTGAATAATGGCATGCTGCTGTGAAACGCCGGGTCAATAACAGTGTGCATCGAGTGCTTGTTCATCATGTAGAACCTTCGTTATGGTGGTACACTGACACGCCTCCAGATCTAGGGGAACAAAAACAACAGTCAAAAACAATTCAGCAGGTGATGCAGAAATATCCATTTAGCAAAGAATAAACCATAACATGATTTTAAATGCCTGACCGAGGACTTTGCTTCACTGAAATTCCATGTAAAATAATAAACAAGTTTGGGGCAAGAATGTTGCCACAAGAAGATTGAATTGGTGATTTATCTTTTTCACTCTTTTTCAGCAAGGCACATATTTCACGAGAAAAATCCCATGAGGCACCACCAAACCAAAATGTCACACAAAAGGTATGTAATGAAAAATATAATGATCTTCTAGTTTAATTTGAAACCTCTAATCTAAAATTTCCTACTGGTGAAAAACTGCCCCAAACTGGAAATTAACTTAACAACTGTGCAGTGACTGCATTGTATGTCAATTATTTATTTTAATCTATTATCAACTTTGTTTAATTGATCAGCGTTCCATTATGATAAGGCTAGAAATGCTGATGTTGTCATTTTTTATTTTTAGCTGATAAACAATTGCATTTCATTTTTTTCTCCTATTCCTATTATTTTTTATTCTTTGTTGATACAGTCAGTCAGATTTGTGCTTAGTAAGAACTGGTGAAATTCTAATTTATCATGAGCTCAGCAACCCCCATTTTTTTTAACACTAATGCATCATTAAAATCCAACAAGAAGTTTGTTTTGTTTGCTACAAAATGAGTAGAGCCCGGAAACAAAGTGTCCCTCTCCGAACAATGAGTCTTTCTTTTTTGACAGATATAGCTCAAGAAGATACAGAGAAGGTCTGAGATAAATGTCACGCAGATGCGTGGTGCTGAAACTTCAGATCAGATTTGAAATCAGACACAATGAGATTTAATCATATTGGATGTTTGGATATTGTTAGGAAAAATTCCATGCCATGCATGTTATGTCAATGTGATAACAGTGGAAACTATCACTGGTTAAAAAGGGTTGCAAGTTTCACTCTTATCAAATAAGACTGTCTATCACTTGATCTGACCCGGTCACTGTGTAAGACAAACTATGTCTGTTCTGCTTTATTTCTTCACCAGCCAAGTTCCTTTATCAGACTAAATTCTGCAGTGTAACTTATGTTACTGCTTGTTACTGTGTTCCCTTTCGGTTATCTTCTGTTTAAATATTCAGAACGCAACTTTTGTTTCACATCTGAACAGGGCTAGAAAATAAAACTGGACCTGCGTCATGACCTGTTTTTATCAAAACTACTTTGTTTCTAACTTCCAAAAGTATGCACTGAGTCACAGTCTTAAAGGGCGGAAGGTGGCTCGGAGGTTAAGGAAGCGGACTTGGTTCCGGAAGGTTTCAGATTCGTGTCCACTGCTCCCCAGGCAGATTAAACTGCCCCCTGCTCACTGTGGTGATGGTGTAAAAGCAGAGGTCACATTTGTTAGTGTGCAGTGGTGTGCTGTGTCACAGTGAAGAGTGATTCACTTCCCTTCCTTCCTTCATAATACGTTACATATTGGCAGCTAGGGTGGAATGCGCTGAATGTGTCTAAATCTCTGGACGGTCCAGTGGTCCAGTGGTGGAGACCATTTAGTGTTAAATTTTAAAACAGGAACAAACAGAGTGTCTTTGTATATGAAGAGAACATAGGTCTGATCTGATCCTATCCACTCCTGACATACAACTAATTAATGATTGAATTATTTCATCATTGACATTGACTGGTCTTGGAATGTTCATGGTTGTCCACTTCCCTGTTTGTATCAACAGACGTTCAAATCCACACGATGAGGCAAACACAGAAGTGGACTCCTTTATAGTCAACAATGGATGATACATTCACCTGAAATGATCTCCTGAGGCTGACTTTGCCCTAAGGCACCTGAGGGCAGCGCTCTGTCAGGCACTGACTTCAGAGGTTGAGGAGGAGAAATGCCCTCATCACGTGATTAATACTTCACTCTGCCACACTAGTCCTACTACAAGAACAGGCCAAACTACAGCAGCAACAATCCAAAACATCTGTCAGTACGACGACAGCCGCACCACAGCCAGTGAGCGCACACTTTAAGGCTACATACAAGGATCGCACACAGTGAGTACAGGCTTAGGGGAACAACTTGTGAAACAAACATGGAATTCTCAGTGGAAAACCACATGGGCTTCATTAAATCCAGGGTCATGACATCCTTCATTAACAGTCCAGATGTTATCAGCTCATCCTGTTGACACCATTCAGAGAGAGCAATGGTTTATCTGTGTCGGGGAGGAGGAAGTTTGGTTACTGTGTAAGGGGGAAACTGCCAAACGCTCTGTGTGTGTGTGTGTGTGTGTGTGTGTGTGTGTGTGTGTGTGAGAGAGAGAGAGAGAGTGGGTCTGTGTGTATTTTCAGTTATCTCTCAGGGACCTTTTCTGGTATGAAAACTGACATTATTGAGGTCCAGTTGACCTGATGGTTACCACAACCAGGCCACAGGCTCATGTCAACCCTAACTAATGGCATCGCAAAGCTCTTGCGAGACAAGAGGGAACAATTAAAAATGGAAAATAAAATTTATATATATAAAAGGCCTGATTTTGCTCTTGCAACATAATAAAAAAACACACAAAATATATCCTCAATAGTTACCTAATTACAGAACTAAAGGAAACTGAGCAGATAAGTTTTTGGTTTTTTAAATAGCGGTTTTCTGTGTTTATATATATATATATATAATAACACAGTAAAATGCAACTACTAATGTTATTAAGCATAACAAATGTGTTCAGGTGTAACTATTTCACAGCGATGACCAATGTTTTTAAAAAAGGCCGTCAGTTTTGGGATATGTTGGAGGAGTGCAGCTCCACACGAGATGAACTGAGTAACTGTATTTACCGCAGCTAAAAGGGGAAGGTACAGATAAAAATCTGAAAAATGCCTAAATAAAAGCCTAAAATATACTGTTGACGATATCTCTCTATTTTTTATAGAGATAAAGTCAACCGTGTTATTGTTTGGGAGAGAGGGGGAGGAGGAGGGAGGGGAGGTGCGTTCATTTCAACCCAGTTGTTTGTTGTCTACCATCATAGGTCTATGGTCATGTTTTTTTAAGCCCTCTTTTTATTATTACGTAGGCACTTGAGCTACTTTTAGACATCAGGTGAGCCACAGACATAACGCGATATATGTTTATGATTCCAAACAACTCTGTCTGACGTCACTGACGTCCTCAGAGCTCGTCTGTGGATCATAATATTGGACCCAGACGGTATTTTGTATTGAACTGTGTATGTAATCATTTCTATGACAGAGAAGAAGACACAGAGTAAGATGACATTTCTGAGCAGGGCGAAGATGGGACAGAGAGAGAGGGGGAGAGACAGACAGAGAGAGAGAGAGAGAGAGACCAGGTTCAAACCATGTGGGAATAGAAACTCCCCCAACTGTTACCTGTCTAACAGCTTACAAAAGTCAACCATCGAAACGCCGTCTGTTTGCGGGGTCAGCAAGTTCACATGACTAAAGCAAGAAGTTGGCGTCCAAATGAAGAAGTTCTAACACGCAGACAAACACAAAATTAAAAAAACTTGGACGTGCACTTTAATTTCTTAGTTTTCTATTTTTTTAAATTTATTTATTTATTTTCTGTCAGCTTTTGTTTTTACAGGTTGTTTTGTTTTTCGGCGCGTCTTTAACATAATCCATGCGAAACTGATTAGGTAACAGAGCAGCCGTCAAAGCGAGAGTAAACACCAAAAAAAAAAAAAAAAGTCAGCCGTTTCTCCTCTGTGGAGACTCTGCTCCCTGGATCTAATCATTAAACACTATTAGGAAAGCAAACAAACACCAGAGTCACTTTAGGACCTGAAGTCCTGTCTTTGTCAACATGTCTGTAGTTCATTTAAAAACACGCACAGACATTAAAGAATACAACTCACCTCGTAGCCTTGATGCTCATGAGTGCTCTCTCCATGTACAGCAGCAGCAGCAGCAGCTTCTTCTGCTTAAAGGAAACGGACAGTTGTTGCCGCCTGGCAGCGGAAGTCTGACCGGTTGCGCCGAAAATCCCACGGTACGAGGAGAAGGAGGCCAGAGAGGGAGGTGAGAGCAACTCATCCGAGCTCCACGCGGCTTTTGGAGAAGTTAACTGAGTGGAGAACTAAGACAAAAGGCAGAAGGGGAGGAGGAGGAGGAAGAGGAGGAGGATTTTCTTTGATCAACAGGCGGAGTCAAACAGTCGTCTGGTTGTCTCTCTATCTGCAGCCTGTTTCTACTCATGTGATGTTTTTCCTGCGGCTCACTTTCTCTTCCTTCTTTTATTGTCTGTGACCAGAACTGCCAAGGCAGTAAAAGTCAAACTGAAAGCCTAATAACTCATTCTTTAACTCCTGTTCCCCAAACATCAGAGTTCACAGTTCTTCAGGGAGCAGACGTGACAGCCAGATGAACTCACTGAAACAACAACAACAACATCATCATCAGGTATTTCAGTGTCTCCACCAGTTTGAATTCTTTTATACAGACTGTTGCACGGTCACTGATAACTTGGGGAAAGTCAGTGTTTACAGTCCAGTCACAAGGTCAATCCCAGAAACTGGACTGGACGTTCTATGACATTGTTTCCCAAAGACTGGGTCGTGACCCTCAGATGGGTCGTCTCGCATCATGTTTCCCAGGAATTTACGAATACTGTCTGTTGACTTGGGTCGCAAAGGTTTGTGACTTTTAAAATATGGGTATTGTCGTGGTAAGGTTTTACCACCCCGGGTTCGTTGATCTAGAACTTTCACAAAGTATAAAGAAAAGACAAAGATCGTTGCTCGAGTTCACCTGTGCACAGGGAGAGTCCAGCGGAGAGTCAGGGGGTTGACTGCTGAATCCTGCTCTCTCCCCAAACTCAGGCTCTTTTATTCTCTCGATCAACAGGCGGAGTCAAACAGTCGTCTGGTTGTCTCTCTATCTGCAGCCTGTTTCTACTCATGTGATGTTTTTCCTGCGGCTCACTTTCTCTTCCTTCTTTTATTGTCTGTGACCAGAACTGCCAAGGCAGTAAAAGTCAAACTGAAAGCCTAATAACTCATTCTTTAACTCCTGTTCCCCAAACATCAGAGTTCACAGTTCTTCAGGGAGCAGACGTGACAGCCAGATGAACTCACTGAAACAACAACAACAACATCATCATCAGGTATTTCAGTGTCTCCACCAGTTTGAATTCTTTTATACAGACTGTTGCACGGTCACTGATAACTTGGGGAAAGTCAGTGTTTACAGTCCAGTCACAAGGTCAATCCCAGAAACTGGACTGGACGTTCTATGACATTGTTTCCCAAAGACTGGGTCGTGACCCTCAGATGGGTCGTCTCACATCATGTTTCCCAGGAAATTACGAATACTGTCTGTTGACTTGGGTCGCAAAGGTTTGTGACTTTTAAAATATGGGTATCCATAAAAAAAGGTTAAGGAAACACTGATCTGCACAGCCCAAACTGCACACTTAGTCATTGTATCTATAAATTCCCCAAAAGAATTAACACAACACAGACAGTATTTGTAAATACATTGATAGATACTTGCTAGTACTAGTAATGCCCATTATTGATCTGGTCTGTTAACGGCATACACACGGTTAATATTTTTCCCGTCACCTCTTATCAACATAGTGAGCGTGGTAGTGTTTATGAAGGTCATCGACTCGGGCATCAGCTTTACATAGTCATAGTTCTGGACCAATCTTCAAGATAAATCATTGAAAACACAGACACTCCAGTAAACACTTGTCATGTTTAATTATATTCTAGTCACAGCAACAACAAAAAAAAACCCCAGAATGCTATGACTGTATGGTTAAATGCTTCCTGCCTGGTAAATCATTCACCCGAATGCTACATAAAAATAGTCCGCATCAACAGAACTCACCTGTGAAACAAGTGTTTGATAAATGTGTAGTGCAGCTTCATCCTGAGGTGGCCTCCTGTAGTTAATGGTTGACCACAGTTACAAATCAGGTCACACATGACCTCTTAGGCTATTTCCTGACCTGCTCTCAATGATAATGACATATTTTATGACTAAAAAAAATACTGTGGGACAAAGCAAGACGTGGGCATTTTTAAATAATCCAAAACCTGAGGCGCTCACAGCCCGACATCGTCGTCAATGAACCTGAATTCTTCCACTCGATTACCTCTGTATGAACTAATTCCTTTTTGCACTTGCATCATTCCAGGCTCTCCTCACCTTTGAGATGGAGTCTAATTTGTGCATCCCGTGGGTCTGACACCGTTTAGTCTAGACAAGTCAGTGGCTTCCTTCAGTCCCTGTGGCCTCACAGGTAAAGGAGCTGTTCCACCAGGGGTTTGACTGAAGAAGAAGAGGAGGAGGAGGCAGCCGCTCTTCTCCGACTGAGCGCATTTCCCTCATTTCCAGTTACCATGGCGTTTAGCCAACACTCAAGGAGGTAAATAATGTGCCATATGGTTGCAGCTACACAGATGTACAAAAACAAAATCCAAACTGATTCCCCAGGTACACAGATCCAAAACATATTTTTAAGTTGGACACAAAAAAATAAGAATAACACAAACAAGCAATGGAGCAAAGGAATTGGATTCTGTGAACAATAAAGGAGCAATAACAATTAAATTAACAGCAACATTGATAGTATAGTTTATAAATAATTCGTAAATTGTCAACAACAACGAAATATGTTATAGTCTGGACCCTGTATTCATTTAATTATTTTGCAAATAATATATTTTAAAAAATAAGAAAAAAGTTAAAATATTATTCTCATCAATTAATATTTTTCTATACTCTCTAAAAAGATAGAAATTAGATTAAAATTAATTATCGAATAAATTAAATTAGATATATCTATACCACAGTATATTTTATTTGTAGCTGTGCCAGTTTATTTAATGATAGAATTCTATGTGAATGGAACAAATGTTAAAGCATGAATGTGTCATTCATCTGTACTGTTGCAGCTCATTTGTTTCTTTTTGCTCCATTACATCCACTAGGTGTTTACCACTTATAAACAAGTTGTGCTGACAGAGGTGATCTCTCAGGACGCGCTGTCTGACGAAACCCTTCCCAGAAGTCAGGAACTACCTGTAGAACCTGGAGACTGTACCTGTTGCATCAGACACGTGAGGTGTAGCTGAATATGCAAATATAGCACACAGAGGACAGGACACCACACGACCGCAGTGTCGTTTTAGAAACAATGGAATAATTCAAACCAAAATGTAAAAATCTGTTAATGCCATGTCATCACATACTGTCTCTTTTTTTACCGAGTGTCACTTATGGAGCAGAAGTCGATGGCAGTAATACATTGAATTAAAACAATATAGTTTTACATTCAGAAATAATTCAAAGTAACTACAGGCCCATAATAAACCTTATAACACAATATTATTTTGTAATTCTTGTTAAGTTTGACAGTTTACATTCTAAAGAAGAAAAAAAGAATTGGTTGAGGACAAAAGTGGAAAGTCACAATATACATTAAGGGTAGTTTTGTTTGTCTACTTATACTTTTCAAAGTACTCATTCAAAATCATACTTTTATTTAAGTATGTTTTGTTTGAAGTATTATATTTTAGTACATTTTAAATCACGTTCGTTACTCAGTAAAAAAAAAAAATCAAAATAGGAAAAAAACTCAGTAAAAAAAAAAAAATCAAAATAGGAAAAAAACATCATGTGTCCAATGGGGTCACACGAATGATGAAGACCAGGGAGCTGGACAAATCCTCATCCCAACATCCTGTCATTCATTTATTGCCAGCTGCCACTGCCAACAAGTAAAGTTGAACAAACAAAGTCAGAGATAAGTGTAATAGATAGCTGTTGTGCCTGGAAAACTGACAAGTAAATTGATGGGAGTTTTACAGGAGCCCAAGAGATCCTAAAAGACGACAAAACGTGGAGTGATCAAAAGAAACGCAGTGGTGGAACCCACAGGCAACGGTCGCCGCATATGCAGCAATTGTTATATCTTTATATCAGGTAAAGAATCAAACGTTTCCTGACTTTAATGTTTCCAGTTGTTTATTTTACGTTTCCTTCATGTTTTCATAACTTGTGTGTCACACTGGGAGGATACGAACGCTCTAACCTGTTGACTGGCTGATGTTTTGTTCTTAAATCTCTTAAGAACCATGATATGATCTGATAAACTATGTCGCAGTAAATATAAAAGTACGAGATAAGCTGCAGTGTCAGTAAAGCATGACGAGTCTCTGTAATGTTTAAGCCTGGACGCTGTAAAAACCCAGCA